GTAACCTTGTCCTCCTAGAGAGGCTAGTGGGAATTGAACAGGAAGTTAACCTTAAAAGATAAACACTTTAAGCCATCTATTTAAAATGCATGTGATTAATTCTAAAAATATACTTGTTTTGATGATTTGCTCAAGATTGTTTTTTTGGGGATATATTGAGCAATTTAAAGGAAAGCAGATTTTGGGACTTCATTAGTTGATGAGTCAGTGACTGAGCAAAAGTTAAGACATAGAGCTGTTTATATTAAAAGGATTAAAATGGCAAGATTAGCAAAAGTCCTTTAGGGAAGCTATTAAGTTGATACAAAAGTAATTACGGTGTTTGCTGTTGCTTTCAATGGCAAAAACTGCAGTTTCTTTTGCACCAACCTAAATATGTAATAGTAAAATGGTTGTAGGGTTACTGATTGATTGATTGACTGGCAGGGTCTTAACGTTGTCACCCAGGCTGGAGTGCAGCATTGCAGTTGATTCTAGCTCACTACAGCCTTGAACTCCCTGGCTCAAGCGATCCTTTTACCACTGCCTCCCTGTGGTAACTGGGACTACGTACAGGCATGCGCCACTACATCTGGTTAACTTTTAAATTTTTTGTAGAGATGGGGTTGTGCTGTGTTGCCCAGGCTACCCCTGAACTTCTGGTTTCCAGCGGTCTTTTCACCTTGGCCTCTCAAAGTACAAGGATTGTAAGCATGAGCCACCCCACCCACCCTTATAGCAATATTTTTCACCTTTATAAAAAAAAAATCAGGCTGGGTGTGGTGGCTGACACTTGTAATCCCAGCACTTTGGGAGGCCAAGGTGGGTGGATGACCTGAGGTCAGGAGTTCGAGACCAGCTTGGCCAACATGGTGAAACTCTGTCTCTACTAAAAAATACAAAAATTGGCTGGGGGTGGTGGCAGGCGCCTGTAATCCCAGCTACTCAGGAGGCTGAGGTAGGAGGATCACTTGCACCCGGGAGGCGGATGTTGCAGTGAGCTGAGATCTCCTCACTGCACTCCAGCCTGGGCAACAAGAGTGAAACTCCATCTCAAAAAAAAAAAAAAAAAAAAAAAAAAAAAAAAAAAAAAAAAAAAAAAAAAAAAAAAAAA